CATCAGCTGCCAGCTAGGGAGAGAGGGCCTCCTGACTCCCTGAGAAGACCTGTGTATACTTCCATTGAAAATGGATCACTTTGATGGTTTCTGACAGCAGAGAAGCCATGAAAAATTCAGGAGCTCTTTATAACTTGTACTACCAATGAAAGAAGCTTACCTGAAAAGGGGGCAAACTTGATGACTCTGGTGACAACACCCTGGAAAACACACAACCACGGCAAGAGTAAAAGTATCAGTGTTGTCAAAAGTAAGACGGATGGAGGAGTGTGGAGTTGCTGCACACAGGAGTTTAAGGGTAGTTGACATAGTCTCCATGCCACTGTAATGATTAATAGGTATATTCAAGGTGTCTTTGTCCAATCCGATACGAATAGGTCATGACATAATATGAATAGGTCATGACATAAACCATGCACTTTGATATAATATGTCAATGCAGGTTTGTGGGTTATACTAAAGGATTAAATTTGACAGTGGATTTCATACTGATTGAGTTATGTATAAATGCTAGAAACATTAGGATTTAATCTACTTATAAATCTACTTAAGTATTTAGCATGACTCTATAAAAACAGCTCTAAAAGTTAAACCTCTTTCAAGAAAAAAGAAAAAAGGCTCCATGCCATAATATAAAATACATTGGTAAATTGTTAGGTACTATTTAGGTTTGTAGAAAGTCCTTTGGACCTGAGAAGGACCTCCCTTGTACAAACTCAAATGTGTTTATTTCAAGCATCCTTCAAAACTCCTTGTCCTGGGGCATGATGGTAGGCTAATACTGAGCCAGGGACCAAGATAAACAGCAAACAGCCCAGGGTCTTAAAACCACCCTGCTGCCAAGAAGGCAAGAAGGCTTACAACAGAGCTCACTGCAGTTTATTCCACAGTATAAAAATTTCTGTGGTGGGAATAACAAATGGGAGCTCATCCATGCAGAGAACACCCTGTACAACCAGGGCTCTAGCTGATTCCTGCACAGGTTCCCCTAGTCCATTTCTGCAGGATGTTAAAAGCACTTATTTAATGGGGTCACTTTTGCTTGCTCTCTGGTTCAGGCTGCTTTATTTGTCTCTGATGGATGTTGTATGTGCTGGATTTGCTGATGCTACTTTCTTACTTATTCTTTTACTGTTATTTGCCATTGTCAGGTCCAGCCAATGAGTTCCCTGAGCCTCAGTGCAGGAGTGTTTTGTAGATGTATATCCACTTGTATTGGGCTCCACAACTATCCACATTGATTGTTTGTGGCCCCCTGTAGTGATCTCTGTTGCAAAGAGACATTTCTTTGATGAGGCATAAAGACTACACTTATCAGAGGAGAAGGAATTCTGTGTCCTAAAGGCTTTTATATTTTTGAAGATATGTAGAAATTGTGATGGAATATAAGAAAGTAGACAGTTTTAACCATTCTAGAAGACATGCTGCTTAAAGTTGAGCATTAGTTATTCTTCATTTGGCTGAATTGTCTATATCCTCAAGATGTTTCTTAAACTTTTATTTTTGATGGAAAAGAGACCCAACAGAAACAGATCCTACGCTGCGGTTTAAAATCTAGGCCACTGAGAAAATTGTTCCATTTTGTCCCTTAAAAACCCCAGATTGCTCACTAGTATATACAGTCCCTCGGAATCATGATTCATGGTCCACCATTCAAAACAAAGCCTCCTCACTTGTGAAGCTGGAGCATCCTTGTGGCTTCTCTGAAACATTCTCAGGCAATACCATCTGTGCTCCCTCTTTCCTGAATCACGTCTTGGTAAATCACCCTTCCAAAAGAAGGGCACAAGCAAATACTATTTATCTACCAAAAAAAAAAAAAAAAAAAAAAAAAAAAACCCAGAGACTTCCTCTGGGGAACCATCCTACCTAGCACAGAAGCTCAAGTGCTGGGGTCCTCTTGCCTTTCTAGAGATTCTATAAAGGGAATCTTAGAAGAGGCTTGGAAGGACAACCAGAATCACACGCTGCCGCATTTTCTCTGGTTGTGTAGATGAACTGAGACAGACCCTCAGGCTCACGCTCTGATGTTAGTGCTCACACTCCCCACCTAACAGGTCTTACGGAACACCCGACACCAAAGGGCTCTGACCACTAAACCCACTTCAGATTCAGCTTTGCCCTTGAACTCTGACTGGATGGTTCTTGGTTTTTGTGGTTGGAGTTCTTTTGGATTTTTTCTTTGTTGTTGTTGACTATCTTATAATAAGTTTTGCTTTTGCCAATCACTGGGCACGCTTTAGTGAAACATTTCACTATGGGGGTAAGAATTTATGCCATATCAAGCTGATGAAGGGACATGCTGGCAGTGTTTCCAGAAGGAGGGGATGAAACCTTTTTGGATGATGGATTAGCCTGCAGAAAAATGATCTGTTATAAATCTATAAATCAAACTGAGGGAGAAGACGAATAGGCATCTCATTTACATATCATAAGTAAAACACAGCTTTCTGAACAAATATAGGTTTCTTCTGTATCCCAGAATCTAAACTATGTATATGTATAATTCAGCTGTTACTTGGCTTAAATAGGGTTATTGGGAAATAACCCTATTTTTTACTATTTTCTACAGAGTAAATATTTCCAGTTTCAAATAACTCTGGGTTTTTAAATTATAACCCATTTTTTTGTTCAAGCTGTCTGCATTGTTTCTCCTGACATTGTATATAAAATGTTTTTACATTAAAATGAGTTGTTGTATAGAGTACCGCATTATGCCATAATAAAGACACTATGCTTCATGGTAAAAAACAAACAAACAAACAAAACAAAAACAAAACTTTTATTTTTGACAGAGATGTTTCCTTGAATTGTTGAAATCACCCCTGCTGTGTCTCCTGAGCTTTGCTCCCACTCCCTTAGTGTCTGTCAGTCATGGCCTTCGCCTTTTTCTGTCTTTTTAGTAGTACAAATGTGGAGAGTCACAGCAGTAGATTCAGGCAGCTTAAATCCTACCAGTACTGGAGAAGTGCAGGTGATATCCAGCTCAGAGGCAGGATGTGAGACCACCCATTGAGACTCTCACCAGGGACGTGTGAGAGACACAGTGGAGACAGGTGACGGTGTAGAAAGCCATCTCCCAGGCCCTCCAGCCCTTCAGATCTGCTTGTTACTTGGTGACATGGATTTGGTCATGAGAAGAGCACATTGGGCATCTGGGTCTTCAATCACATTTTCCTGCAAAGGAGAATTCCTTCACAGCCTGGACCTACCTACATTAGTGGGTCAGGACCCCAAGTGAGACTTGGAAGTCCTGAGTAGATGTGAACAGGCATGTGTGTATGGAGTGGTGTGCTAAAGACCGTGAGAACATCAGAGTGGAGGTGCATTCAGACCTCAGGGGCTCATGGGAAATAGGCATCAGGACCTTAGGGAGTTGTAGAAGCCTTTCTAATCAGAAGTCAGACATGAGAAGCTGCCCTGAAGAGCTGCTGATGGAAACAAGACATGCAAAGAGGTGGGGCTTCCCCTGGGTTCCTTTATTGTTGAGTCTGGGATTAGAGTTCTGGGACTCTAAGTAAATGTCATAGGACAAATAGCGGGATCTTTCTACTATTCTATGTTCTTCCAACCTTACTGGCAAGAGTTCTCTCCATTTGCCAGTACAAACATTTAACGGTGAGACTCATCCCTGAGAACACAGAAGTAATAGATAATTCCCTTGAGCACACAGTTACCAACAGATTGAGTGATCCTTGAGGTGCACTATTGGCTATAATTTTGTTGTCAAACGGCCTACACTGACTATTAAACAAATGACCTCCTGCTAGGAGTTACACATAAAACAGTGATCAAATTCACCAAAGCATTTATGTATATGTCCAGTTGGATTTGGTGAAACAACCGTTCAGTACTTTTTCTCTTAGGACTGTGGAAACCGAAGTAGTTCAGATTGCGAACATTCCACTGTCAAGTGTAATCACCACTTTGATGGATGAGAAAACCTTTGCGTCTGATTCTACGCAGTGGTTTTAAGATGTTTAAAGTCTGATCTCAGATTATGTATGTGATCTCAATAAGTCTTATTCGATGTAGACAGCCATAGAAACATTATTCTTTTAGTCAGCATTTTGCTTGTAGTTTTATGTAACTTCAGAGCACTAAAAGTGTGAAGCCCATCACTGAAAATGAAATCACTGGTCTATATGTTGGTATGATGTGAGTGACGTGAGGTTTTAGACAAGGACTACCCTCTTTGATGACACTGCCTTGCTTTCCTTTACTTTAGTGACTTCTGCTGCTACGAACACTGGCATTTATTTAAACATACCAGTGTTCTATTTGTTCCTCTCTTCTAGTGCCTGTATAGTTTAGTCTTTAGCATTTACATGCATTTAAGGCTTATTTTTGAGTGTGGGACAAGGAATTGATTCAATATTATCTTTTCCCCTTGGAAACAACTATTTGGTTGTCCATTGCTTCTATGGGTTTGAAATTTGTCTTGTTTTAAATGGGGGCACTAATGGGATTTCAACTCTGTCCTTTGATCAGGCTTGTATGCCTGCATAGTTCAGCACTGAGTGAGTGGGTGTCAGGGAGAGAGAGCCTGCTCTGGGAAAAAAAGTCAGTTCAGAGAGTGAGATGGGGCAGAAAGCTCACTTCTATTCCCAGGCTGTGGGTTTGTTTGTCATGGGGAAGAAAACTCATTTTCTGGAGGATCTCCCTCTAAGGCACTGTCATTGTGTACTCACTGGAGAACAACTGTCTGCGCTTCTTCAACATTGACACATGGAAGCCTAACCCTCATTTGAAAGGGATTAGCTGAGAGAGAAGAACCCTATTGAAGAGGCCCCATGGAATCCCCTGCACTTTCAACCATGTGAGGATGCCAGAAGACAGCTGTGATCACATAAGCAGCCCCTCATCAGAACCAAATGGCTGGTACCCTCACTATGGACTTCTCAGCCTCTCACAAAATTTTGACCTGGGAGTTCAAGCAAATTAAGACACCACTGAATTATATTTAATAAACAAAATTTACATTCTCCATATGGCATCAATTATGGCTGCGGAAAGGCCCTGGAGCTAGCTGGTCTGTGCCTCAGAAGTCTCATTGTACTCTTTATCCAGGGAATGAAGCTCTGGATCTTGGTGAATACAGCTGGAGGATTACCATTCCTGTCTCCATAGGAGACGATGCCCTGTGCCACATTGTTACATACCAGAGGGCCACCAGAATCACCCTGTGGGCAGAGGAGGGAAAGGACACAACGCCCTATGATTCAGACTCCTAGAGAAGGCAAGGGTGGGTGGGCTCCTTCAGGTGCCTGTGTATGGGGGCTGGGCATCTGATGGACTTGCAGGAGTGAAGCCCTTGGGTCTCTCAGCTGTTGGACTTCAGGCCTGGCTAAAGTCACTGCCTCCAGCCCACTCCATCAAGCCACCCAGCCTTCCCCATTAAGGTAAACTGTAGGCCTTCCTGTCATTCCTGAAGAAGGGAAAAACCCTTTCCACTCTGGTCTAGGCCACCCCCCCCCCACCTTAAAGGCATGGAAACTGGCTCTGCTGTCTGTCCTGTCACCCCGAGTCCCTTGTGCTAAGAAATACCGATGGGCGTTCGTACTCTTACCCTGAAGGCAGACTTCCTTTCTCTTGGGTTTCCAACACAGATCTGAGTCTGGCTGTTGTAGGTGTCGAAACGATCACTGCACTTTCTGTCCCTCTGCACTCTTAGCTGCACCTCCTGGAGAACATTTGTTCCCCTGTTCTGGCTCACCCGGCCCCAGCCAGCCACTGTGCACAAATCCCCGGGTCGCAGTTGGTTAGTGGTCCTAGGCAGAGCCACAGGCCTTACAGCTCGAGTCTTCCGGATTCTACTCCTCAGCTGTCAGGAGGAGTGTAGGTACTTCAGCTCAGCTCTCCCACCAACATTCGGGGGGCGGTGCCCGGGGGTAGCCAGGGGGGGCAGGATTCTGTGTTCCTACCACCACCCTGGAACCCTGCCCCAACCTAAACAGTCCCTGAACACAGAAAAGCCACAGAGCCAAGAGGGAGCAGACAGCCTGGAGAGCCGGAGGTCAGGTACCTGAAGCAGCATGATGTCATTGCTGATGGTCTGCGGATCGTAATCAGGATGGGGGATGGCTCTGAGCACAGGGACCTGTTGCTGGCTCCTTTCTGGGCTCTGGATGTTGTGGGCCCCCAGGGTGACATTTATAGAGCTGTAAAAGAAAAGTTGAACCAGAGGTAGATATGAGATCCTGCAACTCAGTGGGTCAGTTGAGTGGCCCAAGGACAGCAAAACTACAGCTGGAGAGAGTGGGGTGAGGCGTGGGAGGGCCCTGGGCTTGACCCCTGCCTGCTGTTCCCCAGAATCCTGAACAGAAATAGTTTCAGTTCATAGTGAGCATCCAGCCTGGGCCTTTTACCTCCTCCTCCTGTATCTTTTGATCACACCCTCCTTTCCTCTGTATCGACACTGGCTCCTCACCTCCCTCCCCCTAGTTCTGTCTTATCTCTAGAATTAAAGGCAGAACCTTTCACTATGACTGTAATTATACTTAATTATAATTGCATGCATTCAGGTGGTTCTGAGGAGTAAGTTTTGGGGACTTGGTTCCTCGGGATGCTCCAGGGTCCTCACCTTCCCCAGCAGTGAGCTGCTGTCATGACAAAGTCTTCTCGCACCAGAAACCCCCCACAAGCGCCACGCCCTTCTGGAGTCTGGATCAGAAGGAAGGCCATGTAGGGGTGGGAGTGGGGTCTGGCTTCTCTGCCTCCGATGATCCTTCCTGCAAGGAAGCAGGGGTGGACTGCCTTAGAAAGGCTGGAAGTGCGGATGGGGAGGCGAGCCCCGGGTGATACAGGAGAGCTTTGTGGACATGCGGTACTGGGAGAAGACTCCAAGGCTCTGCAGGAATTGCTTCTGGCATGAAGGGGACACATTCTCTCCCCAGACCTTTGTTTGTTCCTTCTCCAAATGAAGACCGATGTTGGTTCCCCACAAGGCTGGCCCTGGCCTCAGGTATTGAGGAAAGATGCTTTCCCAAGGTATGAGTGTTCTTTGCTCCCTGGTATCTTCCTCAGGGAGCATCCCACATCCCAGAGTCCACCTGCTGGAGTCATGGGACTAGATATGAATCTAGACATGAGCTGATGGGACTTTTACAGCTGTGTTCCTTCCTGTCTCTGGGCTTTAGTATATGGGCTACTGAATAAATTTATGTAGAAAATATTTATACAGCACTTTTTACATGTCAGGGCCAATAACAAGACTCATACATTAACCAATTTAACTGTCATAGCAATGTTATGAGTCAGTATTAATATTATCCACATTTTTATACATAAGGAAACTGAGGAAATATGTGTTCAAATAATTCACTCAATGATGCAGAGTTAGGATTGCCCCAACAGTGTAGCTCTAGTATATGGTATGGGATTGGAGCTCTGAGGTGTGGTGGGTTACTCACCTGCCTCATCTCCTCGGAGCAGAATAAAGATCAACAGGAGTGGAAGCCACTGCAT